CGGAGCCATCAACTGCACCCGACGTGGCGAATGGCCTTGTGCATGCGCCATGCATGCCTGGACTGGGCGCCTCAGCGTCGGCTCCGTCTGTACCGGCCTCTTCTGAGGCTGGGTCGGTTCCGCCTGGGCCGGCCTTGCCCGGGCTGGTCTCCCCTGCGTCGGCCTCCCCCGAGTCGGTGATTCCATCGGGGCCGGCCTCCCCCGAGCTGGTGCTCCCATCTGGGCCGGCCTCTCCTGAGCCGGTGAGCTCGCCTGGGCTGGGCTGCCGCACCTCAGTTGGCCTTGAGCCGACTGACTCGCCCATCCAGTCGAGTCTGTCGCCAGGGTCGGCCTCGCCTGGGTCGGCCTCGTCCTCGCCTGTCGCCGCTGCATTGTCACCGGCTGTGTCGGATACTTCTTCATCGTTGCCACTGGTTGCACCACCTGCGGCCGTTCCTCTTCGACCACATACTCGCAGTCGATCCGGTATTGTGTGTCCCAAGCAACGCAAAGATGGGACGGTCGCCTGGCTTGCGGCATGTGTTGCTCATGTCAAGGAAGATCCTTCGGCTGAACCGCGTCACTTCCAGGTTGCTCTCGGGATTCCTCATTGGCGTCAAGCTATGGAGCAAGAGTATCAGGCATTGTTGACAAATGGTACTTGGCAGCTTGTTCCTCCGGTCTCTGGTGTCAATGTCATTGATTCCAAGTGGGTCTTCAAGGTTAAGAAGCATGCTGATGGTTCTATTGAACGCTATAAGGCACGGTTAGTGGCGAAAGGGTTCAAGCAAAGGTATGGTCTTGACTATGAGGATACGTTCAGTCCGGTGATCAAACCAACAACTATTCGACTTCTGTTGTCCTTGGCTGTTACTCGGGGCTGGTTTCTTCGTCAGCTGGATGTTCAGAATGCCTTTCTTCATGGTGTTCTGGATGAGGAGGTTTACATGCGTCAGCCCCCTGGTTTTGTTGATCCTGCTCGTCCTCATCATCTGTGTCGCCTGGTCAAGGCGCTCTATGGGTTGAAGCAGGCTCCTCGTGCTTGGCATGCCAGATGGAGATCCTCTCACCTCTGATGACGCCACTGAGTATCGTAGCGTTGTTGGTGGCCTGCAGTATTTAACTATCACTCGGCCAGATCTCTCATATGCAGTCAATCGTGTCTGCCAATTTCTTCATGCTCCTCGGACTTCTCATTGGACAGCGGTGAAGCGGATTCTTCGTTATGTTTGCTTTACTGCCTCATATGGTTTGCTCCTTCAGCCAGCACCGTTTCCTACGCTTTCTGCTTTTTCAGATGCTGACTGGGCTGGTAATCCAGATGACAGGCGATCCACGGGGGGACATGTTGTCTTCTTTGGTCCTAACTTGATCGCCTGGGCTGCTCGCAAACAAGCTACAGTGTCCAGGAGTAGCACTGAAGCAGAATATAAAGCCGTTGCAAATGCTACAGCTGAGATCATATGGGTACAGTCCTTATTGAGAGAGTTGGGAGTTCCTCAAACTCAGCCGCCTGTCCTTTGGTGTGATAATATTGGAGCTACATATCTCTCATCTAATCCAGTGTTTCATGCTCGGACAAAGCACATAGAAGTTGACTATCATTTTGTACGGGAACGTGTTGCACAGAAGCTACTCCACATCAAGTTCATCTCCTCTAAAGATCAACTTGCTGACATTTTCACGAAGCCTCTTCCACAACCTCAGTTTGTAGGCTGCAGGCGCAATCTTAACATACTTTGTATTTCAGGGCATAGTTAAGATTGAGGGAGGGTGTTAGACTGTATTTACATATAGCTTCTGTAGCTTCTGCATATGTCTTGTATATTGTATTGTACACCTTGGTGTACCCCTTATATATATGAGATAGCCACACCCTTAACGGGTGTCGTGCAGTTTCTCAAAACCCTAAGTCTTACAGCCGCCACATGTGAAACTGGCCCTGGCCGGCTTGCGTTAACATCTAACACCATTTTACCTTTCACAAGATCATCTGATGGGGACTGCTTGATAGCAAGCAAAGGTGCGTCATAGCTGAGCAAAAAATCTGCATGTTGCTTCGACAGGGAGAGGCTTCTTATCGTGGACTATTTCATTACGTACATGCCATGAGCGCCATAGGACCATCAGTAATCGCATGCAGTGAATGTCGCCTTGATCATGCAACACGTCGAAGAGCCATTCAACATCAGTATTCTGAATTTCGGCTATGTTCGGCAAGTTCCATTGTTTCGCCATAGCACGCTAAAGCCTAAAGATTCACTGCTCGAGGGCACCTATAGAATACATGAAGTGTATCATCTAGTTCCATCACACAGAGCGGACACGAGTCAGTAGGCTCCAGCGTTCGGGTATTATTATTAGCCCAAGTGGCCAACGAGTTTGATACGAACTTCCACGCAAATATACACAACTTTGGTGGAGCGGGGCACCTCCATATAAGTGCCCAGACGGCACGTCGTCCGTCCGGTGCCCTGCTCGCTGCGACAAATGATGGCAACAAAAATAAGGACAATCATAGTCAAGGTTTCACACATGGGAATTGCGAGGTTGGCCGGCCTATACAGGTTACGTCGTCCTTGGTTTGCGAGCCTTCTTAAGTGTTTTTTGTCTGTTTTTACCCGTTTTTGAATCTTTCCAGATGTTTCCTGAATCTGTTTTGTTTAGCTTTTTTTACTGTGCTTTTGTTTTTATCTTTTCCTTTTCTAAGAAAATCAAAAATTGCAAAACATGTTAAATATGTTTTAAAAATGTTTGGACTTTCAGAAATTGTTCAGGTTCAAAATTTTTGTCTGTGTTTATAAAAATTGTTCAAAAGGGGTTCAAAAAATTAAAAGAATATTCAGAAAACGGGTTTAAAACATTTCACACGGAGAGCGTGGTGCCGCCACGATCCACGCAACTTCAGCCTCCTTGGCTCTAAAAAAAGAATTTCAGCCCCCTCGGCCATTCGTTTGGGCCATCGCGGTTGTCGTCGCTTGTCATTTCGCACGGACGATAGATAGGCTTGCGTGCGCGCGAGTTGGTGGCGTCGTCTTGGGCTCGTGCTCACCACGGACGGATTTCAAGCGGAAAAAGTCCAAAATGAACCTTGAATTAGTAGATGAAAGATAAATCGAACCCTGAACTTTAAATCCCGAAAATTAGCATTCTGAACTTATCAATCCCGATCTATTTTGGACCCTAGACCTATTTGGGGCACCGGGAATATAACAATCACGGCCGATAAGGTACTACTCTCACTGACGAGTATTTGGGCCGGCTCACTACTTGCGTTTTGCAGAGATGAAAAAATGTTCGTGTTTTAAAATTGTGTATTTTTCTAAAATGTTCGTCCTTTCGATCATAAAAAATACGTGCATTTCAAAATATGTACAGTAATTTAAAAATGTTCCTGTTTTCGATTTTCTATCACAAATTGAAAAATAGTGTTTTCGAAAATTGTTCAGAATTTTTTTAAAATATAGCGCAGGTATTTTGGACGTCATGAGAAAAAAAATTAAACTATAAGATTTTTCCAATCTTGGACTGTTTTTGAAAGTTTGAACATTTCAAAATGTGAACATTATCTGAAAGATGAAAAAAAAAAACTAGGAGGAACCATAGCAAACATTTGTTGAAAAACTAGGAGCTACTGTAGCAGAAAGTATTTAAGACATGCTGGCCTGAACAATTTTTTGTACTGCGAACATTGTTTAAAAATCCTGAATAATTTTTCAAAAAATTGATTGTATTAAAACACAATCAATTTTTAAAAAGTGAACACTATTTTGGACATAAATATTTTAAAATAAAAACAGGTACGAATTCCAAAACCTGAACAATTTTTTAAAAATGTTTATACAATGTAAAAAAATGTTATTGTCATTAAGTATATGTTAAACGTGTAGTTTGCAAAATGTTGTTGTGTCACATTGTTCAAAAAAAGTTTTTGGAATTTCGTAAATTATTTTCTTTTAAAAATATTCTGTATTTCAAACTGTTCACAGTTTTTCCAAGAAAATATTTCATAATTTTTCCAAAAACAATTCATATATGAACGATACGATAAAAAATATCGGATCAATTGCATCCTTCAGTTGCGTTGGCTAGGTGCGGCCACCACTCCCGAGGTTACTAGTTTGAATCCTGTCAGGCACATTACGTACTGCTAGTATTTTTTATCGCTCCTGATACAAGACAAGTGGGTTCGCAGAAAACGAAAAATGAAAAACAGAACAGAGCGAGTGCCCAAGCAACTGCGTTGATGGGCTGGACCGATTTATCCTAGTATCCAGTCAGTCAAGTAGCTTTTTCTCAACAAAAAAAAAACAAGTCAGTCATGTATCCTTGCCACATCAGCGAGTATAGCAGCTAAACACCCTCAAGAAAATAGACCGGGAGCGGAGAATTTGGTGTGCTAATATTCGGGATTACAAGTTCAGGGTTTGATTTAGCTTTCCTCTATAAGTTCAAGGTTTATTTTAGACTTTCTTCATTTCAAACCGGCCGAAAGAAACAAAACCATGGATTTTAAATCCATCTGTGTGTGTGGACGGGCTGCCGTGCCGTCCTAAATAAAACTCCGCGGCCCCCACTCTGCATCTTGTGTCCTTCTGACACGCACGGATGAATCAATCAATGCCAACTCATCAAAGCATTTCCCCACATCAATCCGCAATTAATCGTCGCCATAAATAAGGAGAAATAATACATGTATACAATCTCGCGCTGTACCACGTACATGTACTTACTACTACCACGGTACGTGGTACGCCAGTTGTGCCTACAGCGAGCACAGGACGAAGAAATGGCGTCCTGCCGTCCACCGCCGGCCCACAAGCCAGCCTTACTCGCCCGGCCCCCACGTGGCCCTCACGTGCCGAGTTTGAACCAGCTCCAACCCAACGGCTCTCTCCTCCCCCTCCCCACTCACCTCAGTCATCACCGATCAGGCACCTGATCCCGATTCCCGACACATCAGTCAACATTGCTCCGTAGACTGTATTAGTACTAGGTTCGCCGGCGGCGTTCGCGGATCGATGGCGGCGTTCACGGAGGAGGAGAGGGCGGTGGACGACGCGCTGGGCTACCCCAAGGCCTACGCCAGGCTCTGCCGCGCCGCCGGCAGCGGCGGCGGCGCGCTCGGCCTGCCCTACGCCCACGGCCCGCCCGGCGCCTTCCTCCCCTACGTCCTCCAGCCCCACGAGGTACGTACCTGCCTGCCTTCTCTCCCGCAGATCCCGCTCGCCCTTCTCTCCTCCCCGCTTCCACGCCGCGTCGTGTGTCATGATCTGATCTGCTGCGTGCAGGCGCTGCGGGCCAAGGACCTGAACGAGACGTTCCCGGTGGTGGACGCGGAGGCGGCGCCCACCGCCAACCCGCGCGGCTTCGCCAACCTGCTCTGGAAGCAGCTCCACCACCTCGGCAACGCCGGCTTCGACCCGGCGCTCTTCCGCGTCGACGCATACGGGAACGTCCTCTACCTCCACGCCGACGCCGCCTCGCCCCTCGCCTGGGACGTCCATCACTGGTTCCCCTGCGCCAGTAAGAAGAATTCTACATGTTCTGAATCTACCACATGGTTCTAAGTTCTGACGAACGGTGGATGGATGCTTGGTCTTCGTCGATCTGCAGGGGGAGGGAGGACGGTCCCGAGCAACCTGCGGATCATGCAGCTGCAGGCGTCCAGGAAGAAGCACAACAAGCTCGAGTTCCTCGTCCCGTGGTGGGATCTGCAGCTCGGAATTTCCGTCAACCAGTTCCTCTCCATCTTCGCCTCCAAGAACACCGACTTCAGGAACAGAGCATTCGCGTTCCTCTTCGCCGATGGGGCCAACGAGGAGCTGAGCTCGCTGCAGGCGGTGGAGGCGCACGCGTTCCCGCACCATTTCGCCGACATGAAGAAGAAACTAGGCCTCGCGCCTGCCGCCATTGTCTCCGCCAGGGGCTCCGACAACTCGGTGCTCAAATCCATTGACGCCAACAGACCAGTGAGGTCCAATTACCCTTTGATCGGTATGCGCTTGTCAGAGAACTTACTTATTGAATTAATTTCCTCGTTTTTGCAACATCTTCATATGAGCTATGGATGATGCTGGGACTGCTTTTCCTGTAGCTGCAAAGAAGTTCTCCGGCGAAAAGGACGAGAACATGGCGGCAGCCCACGGCCATGGTGGTAACTCGATGATGAAAGAGAACAACAACCCAGATGTCGACGGCTACATCAGCAATCCTTACTTGTCCATAGCCATGGCTAGGGACTCGCTGAGGCAGAGGGAAGAGGCGAAGAAGAAGCAAGCTGAGCTCACTGAACTGGAGAAGGAGGCGGCGGAGATGCAGCAGAAGAATGAGGAGGAGAGGGTAGCCATCCAGGACCTGGAGGCCCAACTGATCAAGAGGCGTCGGCGGGTAGAGAAGTGCCGTCGCTTGGCAGACGCCCAGGCCAACTACAAGACAGTGCTCGAGAAGATGATCAGAGACGCCATGCACCAGTAAGAATGATCCTATAAAACCAAGAGCTACTAGTTTCTTTGCAGAATCTTGATTAACTGGTGCTAATTTTTCATTGTGGTGCAAAATGCAGGAGTGTTGTGTACAAGGAACAGCTCAGGCTGAACCAGACTGCAACCAGTACTCTGATGGCGAGACTGGAGGCCCAGAGAGCAATGTGTGACTCATCTGAAACCGAGCTCCGCAAGAAGTACCAGCACAGAGATGATCTGGAGAGGCAGGTGAAGCCATTCATTGATCAAGCAAGGAAGAGGTACCGGGTCGACGATGAAATCCCAGAGGAAAGGCACTGTGAGAGTTTCAGGTACTTGCCAGAAAGAGTATCGAGGAGCAGCCCTCTGAAACAGGAACTGAGGGTTTTCTTGGAGGAGGCTCAGAGGACTTCAGATGCATACAACATTTCCCTGGACGGGGGAGAGATTGGAGAAGGGACTTCAACAATGAGTTATGTCAACACTGAACAACCTTCCAAGGTCATAAGCTTCCCAAGAAGGTCCATCTCCACCGATGAAAACATGAGTTACACTGAAAGAGGAAGAGCGTCAGTAAGGGAAAAACTAGAACAATCGGCGATCAGAGAGCGGCGTCGTAGCAGGGGAAGGGAAAGAAAGGAGAGCATGGTCTCAAGGGGTGTTGGTACACCTATCAAGTCAAGAGATGGTAAGGGCAAGGCAGCCATGCTTGAGTCCGAGACCGAAAGATCTCATCATGCAAGCCAGACAGTCTCATTTCCAAGGACCCCCTCGGTTCCACCAAGTCCTCCATATAGAGCAACCGGCGTGTACGGGACGCCGAGGTACCACACAGAGCAGTCACTACCAGTGCAAAAGGATGATGAAATGCTTCATCCTCGACGTGTTGCCAGAGCAGAAGACAATGAAAACATGAACTACAGAGCAGTCACTACCAGTGCAAAAGGATGATGAAATGCTTCATCCTCGACGTGTTGCCAGAGCAGAAGACAATGAAAACATGAACTACAGAGGCAAGGGACATGTTGATAAGTGGCTTCATATGCTCATGGAGGACCAACAAGAAGAAGGAAATGAAGTGGCATACCGTTCCTCGGAAGATCACAATGCCGCCGAGGAGAACGGTTCGGATGATGAGCAGGAAATCCAAAGTAGAATCGGTGACGAAGACGAGAGCTGCAGGAATGAGATCACTGAATGTGTTGATGAGATCACTGAATGTGTTGACGCGATCGTCGACGTTGGTGGTGAGGATGCTGCTACTCACCATGGCACCCCAAGATGCAGGGATAGCTTTGACATCAAGGAGGAGAAAGTGGAAAGGAAGATCTGGTTCCCGAGGTCGGACAGCGGTAGGGGTTTCCGGTCCCTCCCATCCTCTCCTTCCAAGATCCTGGGAATGAGAAGAGGCTCAGACTGTGCAGGCAGGAAACCTAAGGTGGGTGGCGACGATGATCGTAGATACGGCTATGAGGATTTGGTTTCTACGAGCAGCAGCAAGTTCCTCAGCAAATGCAAGCAGGCGATCAAGAAAGCGGTACACAAATGAGGCAATCTCAGCCCTGTGTTTATTCTTTTCCATGTGGTGTTTGTTACATTTGTCTGAAGTGCTATTATTTGTTTCTGTAGCTGAATAAGTTAGTGATGCATAGCTTGCAGACTACTACTGTCTGAGGTTCTGCCTGTGAAACATTTGTGGTTAGTTTAGTGATCACATTGGTGTGTGTGTGTGTACAACTATTTGTTGATCTGTGAAAAAAGGATAGTACCCAATTCTTACATTATAAGTATGTTTCTGTGAGTGAGGCATAGTCCGAAGCTCTGTTTCGAAAAGGTTTGAAGAACTCTGTCAGTAATCTCTGAAACATTTCTAGCAAGTGATCTGCAGCAATCAGATTGGACTTGTAAACATTACCACAGTACTATTTCATGATTTGTGAAGAAAGAGAGACTTATAAACTGTTAAATTCATATAGTTCTTGATCTATTAGTACCAAATTAGAAACTGTAATTCTGTAACCAAAGGAGAGACAAATTAAGAAGAACTCTTGTAAACATTGAGCGCCGCCGCGGGCTTCAGATTCCTCTCATGACATGGACTTGCGCCACTTGGGGGTCCGCCGCGTCGGCGTCGGCGTCGCCGTGGCCATGCCCCTGCCCTTCTTCCCGCTCGCCGGCGTCCGCCGCTCCATGCCGCTCTCCGAGTCCTCGATCCTCGCGACGTCGCCGCCGCCGCCGAACCAGAGCGTGCTCCACTTGAACCCGCCGACGCCGCCGCGGCGCCTCCTCTCCGAGCCCAGCCTCTCCACCTGCTCCTGCAGCGCGCTGCACTGCACCTGCAGCCCAGACGCGTCACCGTAAGCGCGCCTGATGAGAGCTGCCATAGGAGTTGGAAAACGCCCAACGAACGAACCTGGAGCCTGGCGACGTCCTCGCGCAGGCGGCGCATCTCCTGGTGCTGCGCCAGGGCCTCGCGCTTGGAGGGGCAGCGGCCGCTGCCGGAGTGGAGGTCCAGCGCCGCCGCCGGGCTGCAGGGGACCCTGGTGCCGCTGAAGGAGGCGCCCAGGTCGGCCAGGCGGTTCAGCTTGCCGTGCTCCGAGAAGAGCACCTGCATCACGGAGCGCACCGGCAGCCGGTCGTTCTGGACGGCGTGCGCCGCCGCCTCCGCCGACAGCTTCCGGGCGTCGATCAGCCTCCACAGCGACTTCCGCTCCTCTTTCCCGGCGCCTGGATGTGCCTGGTACATCAGTCGAAATTGGAAATGAACAACTTTTTGTCATCCGGTTTGCAGGAAATTCTGAACGAAGTAACACGCTACATTCAGATCCATAGACCACCCAACGGCAACTGCAAGCACCGGAATAAACGGAAGGCATGTCATCGTTGCGGCCCCTCCATCATCGGAGTCAAACAAGCCTTGTTGTAGATAGTCGACAAGTCACTGTACTAATTAAGAACTCAAAGGACTAGCACTAAAATAACAATCGTCGTTGATTAACATAAGCATAAAAAATCAAACTTATAGACACACAAATGCAGACGAACAAAACCAAATCTAAGCAAATCCACCGAAGACCAACAACGACTGAATCAGACGATACCATCGTTGGAGACACATGTTTCATCGATGGACCAACGCGACGGGAGTGCTAGGCGAAAAGAACCATATTTCATCTTCAGAGAGTCATTGCAGTCTCATCTTTCTGAGTAAAACACCAACCCTAACCAAACTAAAAAAAAAAAAACAAGAAGAAAAAAAACAAAGCCTTTCCGCCGCCAAGGGTCCATCGCCACCTCCTGGTCCTAAGACCACAGGAGATGAGGCAAATTGCCGCCGCCGCCGGGAGACAGGGAACCATGTCGCATGTTCGCTTCGAGTCGCCAACAGTCTGATTTTGCTAGAAAGTTTGATTATTTGGCACACATTTGCCCCCACCACTTTGATAATTTCTCTGTAGAAGGATTGGTGGGGCCCCGGATACCCTCCACTGACACAATATAGGGCAAATTATCAAACACCCGAATAATGTGAATGGTCCAAATGACGTGGAGTATGTGATCTCGATCTCCAGTGATCCATGATGAATAGTAAATTTCAAAAAATATTTTAAAAATTCAAAAAAAACTGCTTTTTGACAAGAAGCATTGTTTTATGTCTACATGCATGCAAAATTTCATGATGAAATTGCTTTTGTGGAGGTGTGGACAAAAAAATTGATGTTCCAAAATAGTGTTTATGCAAGCACTTTGGAACATCAATTTTGTTTTCTTGCCCACACCTTCACAAATACAATTTCACCATGAAAAATTGCATGCATGTAGAAAAAACATCATTGTTTTTTAATCAGATTTTAAATTCATTTTTTTTACTATTTTTATGAATTTTACCGTTCATTCCGGATCACTGGAACTCGGGATCACATGAGTACTTTCGTTGATCCAAAGCCCTAAGTTTTGCATGGTACACACAAGGAACGGACTATATGTAGGTCCTCTGGAAAAAAAAAATCATTGTAAGTGGATTTTGCCCTAGTGGTTGGATAGAAATTGAACTAGTGTGCACTCTTCTTCCTGCTCTAGCCCAACCCCTCAGGGGTTATTTGGATTGCAGGAATTTAGGAACGTAGAAATAGAAAAAAAAAACATAGGATTGAGATGCCACGTCCAATGAATTCCAACATGATTTTAAATCACATGAATTTTATAAGATGTATCTTCGGATGGTGCAAGGAAATGAACGCAAGAATTGTGGAGAATTGAGGCGTTAGAGTAAAGAGAGATAAACCTGATGTAATATAAATTCAGAAGAGCCACCAACTAAGCGTTTACCTCCAGTTAAAAGACCGAGAAAACTTGAAATGCCAACATAGAACTGAGCATGCTTTATATATAGTCCAAAAAGTGAACATGAACATCTTTTGTTTGATACTAATTTTGCACGCGAATCCGTCCTGTGCAGAGCGCAGCAATGCCAAAGTTTGTGATGGATGTTATGACAGGGACAACACTATAAAACTGCACCGAACAATGGAGCAGCAGATGACACCCACTTTGATTTGTCGGGATGCATTTCGATCCGAAAAGCTCTGAACTTGTGATACGCATGCGGCAATGCCCATGAAACTAAAAGATGAATCATGTCTGCTATGGCAGCTACGTATATATGGCTGTAAATATCTACAGAACATGCTCTGGCCGTCTCTGCAAGATCCCCAGCCTGACAACTTCGTCCGCACATTATGAGATGAATCCGAAGGGAATATTGTACGGTGAGTGTGAGCACTGAAGTTGCTACTGCTCGGGAAAACAAAGGACAAACAGTGGCTTGGATGAGAACAAAAGGGCACCGGACTATAGACAAGAGGGATTAATTGGATATATGCGCCTATTCCCGTGCGTGACAACAGGTAACATTTTGTTGTCTAGCAGTCGGAGCTCCCGTGACCAAACACACCAACAGACATGGGAAGACATAGTAACTCCGGCTGATGATAAGGCGTTTTCAGTTTGGTTTTATGACAAAATCTCCTGGTGTCTGCGACAGATGAATGCGGACGAGGATGTAAAACAGTGTTTTCAATTGTGCGTACTTGCGCCATTCTCCCCCTTTCTGGTTTCCTGCCACATGTGATGTGTATACTTTGCATGCATATGATAAATGATGTTTGGTTCTCACAGTTTGACATCGTAAAGTTGGGTTATTTACCATATCAGTTGACCAAAAGTACAAAGCGCAACATCGTAGAAAGATAAAAATGGAAACGGAGTGAAGCATGCATGCATGGTCACCTTGAGGTAGGTGTCGACGGCGCGGTAGAGCGCGTCGTCGGCCGCGCGCGCGTGGGCGGGCACGGCGCGGGCGAGCTCCTCCAGCTCGGCGGGCCGCAGCTCAGCCTCCAGCGCCGCCTCCGCCAGGTACGCGTCCACCAGCTTCGCCACCCTCGCGCCGGCCCCGCCGCCGGCGCCCTTGCCGCCCTCCTTGAGGAACCCGCGCACCAGCCGCAGCACCAGCGGCACGTCCAGCAGCGTCGACCCGCCCGGCGCGTGCCCGAACGCCGGTATCATCACGGCCGCCAGCGTCGCCTGGTCCAGCCGCCGCGCCGCGCGGGACTCCAGATCCCGCAGCAGCGCCGCGTCCGCGCCCACCATGCTCCCCGCCCGGAGCAGCTTCAGCAGGAAGTCGCACGTGATGCCGTCGTCCGCGGCCGCGCCGTTGGGCGGGTCCGGCGGGAGCGCGGCGACCAGGGTCTCCAGGAGCAGGCGCTTCTTGAGCCACGTGGCCGTGGGGCTCTCCGGGGGCAGGAAGCGGCCGGACGCGGACGTGGCCACGTCCGGGAGCCACTTGGCGGCGTAGTGGGACAGCACGCTCGGGAGCAGGTCGGGGCGGGGCTTGGACTTCACGGCGGCGACGGTGCGCGCGAAGCTCTCCACGTCGTTGACGCACGTGTCGTCCACGCATGCCAGAACCCATGGCTCCGAGGAGGAGCGCGCGTGGTCGGCGGCTGCCGCCGCGGTGCCGCGAGCGCGCGGCGACGGGGTCCTGGGGCTGTGGCTCTGGGACGACGACTTCATGGCGGGGCAGGGCGGCGCGCGAGCTCGGAGCTCAACTACTTCAGCTGCTTCAAGTTCACGGTGCGTGCATCGGAGTATGGACCGAAGAGCAGGCGAGGCTGTGGGCGAGAGATGGCGACACCCACCTTTGGAGCTGCGTGTCGTACTATGTCATATGTGGCTGCCCATGATAATCGGGGGCTGTGTTTTCCGAGTAAAATTCATGGTGGTTGTACGTAGCACTACGTGCAAGCTACTGTCCATCAATCTCCGGTCCAGGTCCAACAGTAGCATGTGCGTCATCTGTCCTTGTTGGGCATGATCTACTGCTGGGTGTATGCACATTATTCAGCGCCGTTTGTACAGTATTACACATGTGTAATTAGGTTGCACGTTGCATAACTCTCATAGAAAATGTCAAGTGTATTTTTTTTTTCCAGAAACACCGAGCACTGATGTAGTACGTACACGCACACAGTTATACCCATGCACTCACAC